CCGGAGAGAAAGCTGATGAATTTGAAAACACTAGAAAACTAAATGATCACAGTCTCAATCATTTGCTTTTGATTAAACTAGGTGAGCCGCAGTAATCATAATGACAACTCCTAAGAGGTGCTTGCCACAACTCTAAATTAAATACGGTAATATTCGACACAGTTATTTTAAGTATAAACCTAGAAGTTTCAATTTCAAGAACATTTATTTTCTTGGATGTTGTAAGAAGCTACAAGGACCAGAGAGGGATTCAGTTCTTCACCAGTGAAAGCTTCCTGGGAGAACTCAATCACTGCAAGCTTTGTCTTAAACTCTAAACAACCTTCAGTTTGCTAAAACTCAATGTCCTTGTGTTAAACAATATGAAAAGAAGTTTCAGATCATCAGCATCAGTGACAGAAAAGAGTAAGTTTTACAGTTTAAATCTAAATTAGGTTAAATTTTCCTATAGAATTTAAAGCAAAGCCACTGGAGAAACATTCTCCTTAAAATGTGAAAGAATTTCTTACTGAAACTGCTGCTTCAACTGAAATACAATATGCCAGGAACTCTGTTATCTCAATGACCAAATATCGGACCGTATACCACAAAACAGGAAATTCTACAGCCTAAATTCTTTCTCTCATACCATCCAGAAATTAAGCAAACTGCAAAAACAGATGCTGATCTTAAAAATGCAATGATTTTAAGCAAGACATTTGGTCAAATTGATTTCTGCAATAATGTGTGCTGGAGATCATAAATGTTACCTTCCTCATGTTTGGGTTTTGCTTTCCTGCTTTTTCTTTTTTCTTTTTTTTTTTTAAGTATACTTGATCCTTAGCACCACTCCCCCCTTTTGGAGGAAAAAAAAAAAAGGAAATTACATTAAACAGACTACTTTCTCCTCAAGATCTCATTTTGAGCTTGGAAGAATGAACATGATTAGTACAATTAAGGGTGAGATCAATATAAAAACAGGGAGAAGGATTAAATAAAATTAATTTAAGACACTAATTTGGATTTTTAAAATATCTTATAGGTAGTTAATTAGATGCTACTCTAAGGTAAAACAATTACTTGAATATCTGAGATGTAAAACCTATTTCAAAACGTCAGTTTCTAACCAAAGCAGTAAATTAAAGGAACAAAGTAAATACCCATTCCACACACATACTAAAATCCTGCCTTTGTGTAAAGAGGTACTTATCTGATGGTGTGGCTTTTACATTAATTTTGTGTGTGTGTGTATATATATATATTTATTTATTTATTTATTGAAGTATAATCAGTTTATACAAATTAATTTTAATTCCACTGGAAGAAGTACTTGCTTAGATGAACGTTCACATGTTAGAGTTCATGTCATCAGTAATCAATGATCCTGCCCATAAATCTACAGATGAGCACGTGGCATAATTAAGCAATTTCAACATGAAACAAAGTTAACAGTTCAAATCCTAAAATTTGTGAATCCAGTTTTCACAAAAACTTGGATGAAAAGCACTATCTTCATAATTGTCATTTACTAAGATTAATGTCTATTTAGGTCTGCATTTTGTTTCATAAAATAGACTCTCTTCACACTTTTCAACTCCATCCAACCTTGTTTCTAAAATTGCAACTCAGCAGTATCTTCCACTGAAATTCAGAAACACTTCTGAAAAAATTCCAACACTGGACCTGCCCTTAATTCTCTCCTACATCTTGTTTCTTGATTGCCACAAATTTAATACTAATAAAGGTACTACATTCATTGAAGCATTATATATAAAGATCCCTGGTTTGTTTTTGAACCTCGAAACAGCAAGATGATGGTTTTCAGGAAAGAAAGCTAGTTTTAGATATTTTAATAGGTATTCTAAGTTAAAGTATTTTATAGCTAAACTGGGGAGTTAAAAATAAGCTCTTACAATATCTTCACACAGTTCAGAAGTTACCTATTCCGTAATCTTCCTTGCTCCCTGCAGCCAGAAATATCCTTTCTTTCTCCTGAGGGTTTTGCATTTTTTGATACCTTACATCAAAATTTGGCCTCATAATGTAGTTACTTGAGGATGTCGCTTCTCTTTTGGTTGGCGAACTCCTAAAGGATGGGGATGTATTTTGAATTACTGCCACACATGATATATCCCTCTTGGCTAACACATAGGAAATGCTCGACAAAATTTTGCTGAGTTTCTCTAAACTACTTGACACTCCTTTATCAAGCTTCCACAGTCAATCTTTGGGACTTTGTGAAGGTAGAGTTTTAAACTAGAAGTTCATCCTGTTATTTTTCTTATCCACACCAATCTCACCTCTTCATTGAGACTAATGAATTCATCTACATCTGAAAGAGTATCACCTTATAACTCATCCCACTTGGTTTGAATCAATACCTGAATTGATTGCTGTACCCAGAGCTCTTTAGAATTCTCAATGATCAAGTTGAGAGAATCAGCTCCCCAAAGTAGGCCAGAATCTCCCCCTTCCCCCAAACTTCTCACTCAGTGATGCTCCCACGCTCTCACACCCACCTTGAAGAACTCAAGCTGTCAAATTACTTGCTGCGTACCTAGCGACAACGGAGACACACTGAGTTTGCTAGCGCTCTAGGTCTCCGCCCCAATGTTAAGCCTGCGAACAAATCCTTCAGGGTGGGATCCCCGCCCCGAAGCATTTCTAACCTGTTAGCCTGGCCCCAGCCTCACGACTCCCCGCACCACTCGTTTCCCCTCCATCCTGCAGTTTCCGTCCTGCGACAGTCCCGTGGTGTTCCCGACATCTGAGTGAGTTCAAGGACTCAGGGCGGGAGAGGGCACGCTGTGGGCAAAGGCACGAGG